TAGGAAATTTCTCAGTCTCGGTGTGTATCAGAATCATGGGGAAGCCTGGCTGGGCAGAGGAGGGTGCAGCCGAGAACGTGCTGGTACTTTGGTCAGCCATGCACCAGTGACTGTCACCGAGGCGCTTACAATGTTCTAGAAACTCCTCAGAAGCTTCAGGACTTGGGGGTGGGGAACCGTGCTTTCTTAGAGGACTCTGGGCATAATGGATGCAGATGAAATTTTATTACTTTAGTTGGACTTTTAAAAGTCAAATCCGTAGTTTCAATTTTATGAATCTACAAATAAGATCCTCCTTCTGTTTGAAGATACAAAGTAAGGCTCTATACTCTTGCTATGTATGTACACATAGGAATTACTATTACCATGTATTACTATTATTGTGTGTTACTACGGATGGCTTGTGATTTTGCTTTAACAGCTCCTGCTTGGCTCTGGTTAAGACTACTCTGTAACGTCAGCTGCCAGAGTCTGTTATTGCTCTGGAGTGACTTTGTACCTTGAGTCATAGATTTCTTGGACTCCAGACTTTCCTTTGTAAAGTTCTGATATTACTTACAGCAGAGGGTTATCATGGGGAGTAAATGCAGAGAAGAATTCAAAGTCACTTATCAGAGTGCTTGGCACATAATAATTGGTCCATAAACGTTAACTATTATTGGAACACCAAAGTAAATGCTTTTGTTCAGGAATGTAACTGTACACAATGTTTGTAGTTATCTGGTGTTTAACTGATACATCGTTCTCTGTTCCTATAAATCATTACTACTCTCCTGCCAAGGGTAACCCTGAGTTGGCATGAAATTATAAATTTTATGTAAACAATATGATTTAAAAGTTAAAGTGTACTGCAAACAGGCAAGAATCAAAAATACCTCCAACAAAATTCACACTTAAAAGAGAACACTTTATCTTATTTATTGATGCTTATTTATTTATTTTATCGGAAGGAGGGTCAATCCAGGACTACTTGTGTCGTGGTTCACAAGTTGAGGTCTGAGAACAAATTCTGATTCCATTATCAGCTTTTGTCTGGTGTGAGATAGTCTCTAGTACTCATTGCTCTATACACAAGGATAGTTGACCCGTGAGTCTCAGGAAGTCTCCTGTCTCCAGCTCCCATCTGCCCCTGGAGTACTGGAAATATGGATGTGCCTAGCTGCTTCTAGTTTTCCTTGGGCGCTGCAAATCCAAACTCAGGTGCTCATGTTTACACGGCAAGCACTTTCCACAGACGGCTCCCAAGTCTCCCTCCCATTATAAACATCAGCTGCGGGACAGATTGCCTGGGTTTGTGTTTTTAATGCACCAGAAACCTCATATGTCTAATAATGACAGTGTTGGTTTGTAATCATGCCTGTTACAGAGAAAACACACATATGGGCATTGACTCGACTCTGGAAATTAAATGAGAAGGGTTGAAAATAATGTCTGGCACAAAATAACACCAGTATAATCTTCTGTTACTTGCACTGAGTTTATATTAATGTAGACTTTGGAAGACACTTGTTTGTAAGAAAAATACGTTTAGAAAACTGGTTGTTTCCTTTGCATTTCAATACAATGCTGCCTGTAAATTCACCAGCCTGCAATCGAGTGTTATGTAAAATGATAACCTCCTCCACAGTCTCCCTTCAGATGTGGTTGTTGTTTCTTTTATAACTACAGTTCGTATCTTTAAGATAATCTAGCCTGTAATGATGTACTCAGATAGATGTAGTTTAGAAAGCTCTTTTCACACAATCTCTCAGTATGGACTTTAATGGTCGCTCTTGGCCTCCCTGTTGCCAAGTGCTATGGTGTTTCCTCAGCTTGGCCCTGGAGTTTGACATTAAGAGTGTCTCTTTGCAGGGAATCTTAGCTCAAATGTGGTTTCCGTCCTATGGACACTTCTGCTTTCCTTAAGCAAGCTGCTGTCACCTGACACCCAAGCAGTTCACTAACACCAAGGTTGTCCTCCTCCTGGGCTCTTCAGGATGGTTGACACGACTCTTGGGCTCTGGGGACTCAGTGTATCTCACACTCTTTCCTCTGGAAGCTGTAGGCCTCACATCTACTCTGCTCACTCTCCTCAGGTCCAGTCACCTATCCTGAAACTGACCAACATTTGTAATTGAATTCCTCATCACTACATCATGTGGAAGTTGCATGTCACCACACTTTCCTTGCAGGTCCCTGGGGTCACACATACCCTGTGTGATGATTAGGATTAATTTTCATTGTAACACTGAGGAAAGAGGACTCTAGGCACGCCTATAAGGAGCTGTCTAGTTCAAAGTTAGTGACAGGGAGTGTCTGTGATGGATGGTTCCTTGCTCCTGGTTGTCGATATTACATGGACACCTGCTTGGAGTTCCTATCATTTTGGGTTTCCAGCAATGATGAAGTACAACCATTTCTCCCCTAGTGACTTTTATCAGGACATTTTATCACAGCAGCAAGTAAAGAATGCAAAACACCCTGCTAGGCCTGTGACTCACATCTGGTTGTACCAAGCCTCTGGTCCATACTTTTGATTTCTGACTTTTACAATATGTCCCTTTTGCTACTGGGTCTTATAGCCACCTGCCTTGCTGTGAGAGAACCTCTGTCACGTCTCCCAGGAGATGGCTCCTCAGCAGTACTCTTTGTGTGGTTCATTTTACCTACCACCATTACCTCCCCTTTGCCAAGCCACTCGGTCATCCCAGAACATTCCGTTTCCACTCGCATCAAGTGCAGACGCTTCGATGTGTCTCTTTAGTGTTTTCAAACACATCTTTAAAGACTGTAGGCCGAGAGTCAAGGTTGACCGGTGACGGACAGGCCTCTGCTGTCATCTAACCATGCATCTTATATTCACTTCCCCCTAGTTCACGTGACCTCAGGACAACCAATGCCCTTAGAGTTTACCCCTGCCTCTTAACTTTCTTTTGGGATTTGTTTACATGGTGTGACAAGCATCCACATAATGCTTGCAACCATTGAATATTACCTCTGAAAAAGACCAAAGAAACTTGCCCCAAACCCTTTAGTACATAAATGAGAAATCAAGGTATTTTAGAATTTAGTTGCCTTTTGAGATGTATGCTTTCTTCTAGCTATGACATGCATTATGTGTGTGCATAGATGTTATGCTAGATTTGAATATAATTGGGAGACACTTAAAGAATACATCCTATCTTCCTACAGGCCAATCAGTGCAATGCTTGTCACACCATGCCTGTGTTCTCTAAGACAAAATGAGAGAGCAAGTGTTCTTCAGTATAAGGGCAAGGGGGAAGGGAGAGAAGAATATCATCTGGCAGATGTTTCTAGTTCTTTGAAACATTTCTCCGGTCTTAGAGGATGTCTGTTACAGAGCCAGTGCTCTCATCCAGGCCCAGGGATATGACCTCAGCTTTTTCAAATGCCACACTGCTCATGTCTGGAATGACTCCCTCTCCTTCAGTCTGACTTAGCTAGCTGCAATGCATTAGCCATCCAGGGAGTTCCAAAGAAAGCTTCGATCTGCACCTCCTCATAGGAGTGCCTGTTGATCACCCTCTCTCCTATTTTAGAAGTTGTAACAGCTGGCTTCAGCAGCCCCACCTTTTAGGCCTTTCCCCAGTCAGTCTTACTTGAATTATAGGCCGCAAAGCCTGTTTGTGTGTGTGTGTGGGGGGGGATACAAATAGACTGTGGTCGGAAGTCTATTTATTGTGGAATGCAGAAACCCCAAAAATGTCAAGAACTCTAAATGCTGAAACATATCAAATGATATCCACCATGCAGTGTTGCAATTTTGATAGCCACCCTAGTTATTTCACAGATTAAATGTACAGGCCCCCCAAAACTGCCCTTATTTCAGACCCTTAGAAAAATCTCAGGTCAGCTGCAGTGCTGCACAGTTGGCTATGCATGTATGACTCCCTGTGCATCAGTTATTTTCAGTAACTCAGGAAAATATTATACTTCAAGTTCGATACTAAGACACCAAAATTAGGAGAGTGAAATAATAAGACTCGGAGGATACGTCCTGGAAGGTTCCACAAGTTCCTGGGTCAGCTCTTGCTGAAGCATGGGTTACAAGTAGGAAGCTTCAAGAGTGATCCGAGATTTTACTGTGATCTCATTATGCGGGCATGACTTGCTGAGCCAGTGGCAATGTGAAGTAGATACCCAGCTCCACTGTCAACCTTAGATTTTGGCACGTCTAGTCTGATTTCCTGTCGCTAAATACTTCTTTCACCACACAGTTCCTCTGGTGTGTCTCGTGCCCATCCTGAAACTGTCTAAGAACCCCACAGAAACTTCTCTATGAGCATAAACTTAAATGTAGTCCCAGGTGTCCCATCATGAAAACAAAGATACTCCTAGCTTCCCAATGGCTTGAGGAGAACAGGTCTGCAACCTGCTCCCAGGAACCTAAGACAGAGAGCAAATAAATTATCTATTATAAAGTCTTCATAAAATACAACAGGGATGGGATCTGTTTATGTCCCAGAAAGCCAAATGAGAAATTTTTGGAGTTTATCAGAGAAAAAAACTCACTTTTTATTTGGACAAATTATAAGTTGCCCTGGATATTATTAGAATCTCTTCATTTATCTTTTCTCACTAATTCATTCAGCATTGTTTATTGAACCCTATAGCCACTAGAAATACTGACAAACTGAAGTTAATAGTTTTATATAACAAAATAAAGACAGGAGATGAACTGTTCGATGATGTTCTCTCATTTGATTTCAATCTTGTCTGTGATAATTGGATATGTTTGCTTCTCAAGGGAATGGAGAGGAAAGCCCCAAGGTTACAAAGCACTGGGCACTAGGAACTGTAAGGCATTTAGGAAAGCAGGCAAAATAGAAACATGGATGATTTTTGTTGACCCAAGTTCACCACTTGGTCTTCTATCTTTAGACAAAATCAAAAAGTGCTTTGAAATGCCATGTTGTAAATTTTTCTTTTTGTTGTTGTTGTTTTGACTTTTCTGTAAGTGGAGCAGCATACTAATTTCTACAAGTTGTGACTACTAACAGAGGGCAATCACCTCACAGACTTGTACAGAAGAGATGAGAGCATCCAGGTGACAGGCCATGGCCACCTGCAGAGTCCTCGCTTCCCCAGCAGCTACCCCCGGAACCTGCTCCTCACATGGCGCCTCCATTCCCAGGAGAAAACACGGATACAACTGGCCTTTGACCATCAGTTTGGATTAGAGGAAGCAGAAAATGACATCTGTAGGTAAGAAAAAATGATGCTTTTCAGTGTTCTAGTCAAAGTGGGAGGAACTGAATTAAAAACATCACATCGAACATTCTTCTTAAACTGTTTGGAATTACCCAAATATTTCTCATTAGTTCCTTTTCCTTTTCCTAAATAAAAGGCTCACAATCTGAAGATCGCACTTCAGCTTAGTGGCTGGTCACAGTTGTACCTACAAAGAAAAGAGGGACAAATGTTATATCAACAATAACAATGGTCTTTCTTTAAAAAAAAAAAAGTGTTGTGTTGGCACTGTAGAAGGCCCACAGAAATATACACTACCATCAATCACAATTACATGTTTCCCTGAGGATAGACTGGGCATCTGTGACTTTCCAAGGCCTAGAGAGGCCTTTGTGAGAAAGTAGATGCATCTAATCCGGGTCCCCTGAGCTGCACACTGTAACCCAGGCCAAAGTCTGCCGCAGGCACAAAGTGTCAAGACCCTGCTTGTTCCAGAGGTTAGGCCACTGCAACCATGACAGGCAATGGAGACAGATACTTAGGCCGGGACCTCTCTAGACATGGGAAGGAAGCAGAGCAACTCTAGGATCCTTGTCCTCTTCTTCCCTGAGCAGGGGAGAAGATGAGAGTCAGCTAAGGATCCTCCCTCGTTAACATGCTTATTAGAGAAAGTTCAGGCTTCAGCATCTTACCCCTCAATTATCCTGTGTGAGACCTCCGGGGAATTTTCTTTTTCTTCTTTGTAGTTTACTGGTTGTATTTATTCTGCATTGCCAATGAACTCCTGAACTACTAAATCTTTTCCACAGTTTATTTTCCTCTGAATAATAAAAAGAGGTGCATCCAACTTGGTTGTCCTTTGTTTCATTTTTATTATGCTGATAGCTTTTATTATGCTGCTGTTTTCCCCAGAAAATAACAGTATGGACCATTATTTTCTAGGAGCACACAGGGTAATGTATACCAGGAAGCAGAGTCAGATACACACATGGAGAACTAATTAATATTTGCTGAGAAAATAAACTAAAGCTGATCTTCTGTCTTTCAACCTGTGTGTGTGTGAATGTGTGTGTGTGTGTGTGTGTGTGTGAGAGAGAGAGAGAGAGAGAGAGAGAGAGAGAGAGAGAGAGAGAGAGAACAGACAAAAAAAGTGGGAGGAACAAACAAAAATTAAATGAAATGCAATTAAAAGAGACTGGAGGTGAGAACGTGGCAGTAGATCCGTCTGCACCATCTCAGCTTCCTTTGCGGTTACTATGCTAAAGTAGCCTGACAATGGGAACTAGCGGCGGAAAAGTCCATTTTGGCTGCAGCTCAAATGTGGCAGGGAATTCAAGCAGCCGGTCACATGGCAATGTCGGTTGTGAAATGGGGAGGAATAACCTTGATAGTGTACGATCCAGGCCACAGGCCCGGGAGTGGTTCCTAATGGAGACGATTCCCCACACATGTGCCCCAAGGTCTGCATCCCAGTGATTCTAAACCTCATCAAATTAACAATTGCGGTCTATGTTCACAGACAAAAATATGTGAGCTTGGGAGCTTTGTTTTCTCCACTCTGAACAATTCTCTACCACTTGCCAGGGGTTCTGTAGTTAGTTAATTTTATTTCTGGCACAGCCACCCGGGTTTGGCATCCAGTGCCTCAGAGTTCAATGCCTTAAGTTTCCCCGTTGTTAAATGTCAGATGCAGGTCCCTGGCCTTCCATCTTCTGCTCCATCCAATGAACCAGAGCTTCACAGCCCTGCCTTGGCTTTTCTGAGTTGCTTTCACAGTCAGAGAACTCACAGATGACTTGGCATCACCAATAGTCCCATCATTAGCATAAACTGCGGTGAGAACTCCAGAGCTTTCCTCACTTTCCCACTAGGAAGCCCCAGTGTCTTAGGTGAGACAGAACGGGGACCCCATACCTGTTTCCTTATAACAGAAAGCAAACCACAGATAAATTGAGACTTTGGCCCAGACAATATCCGAGCGAGTCTTAGGCTGGTGCACTTTCCGGGCCTTTCATCCATTGAAGTTGCTTCTCGGATTTTCCAGGATGGAGTAGAATGGTACAGGACGATGGACAGACACACAATAGTTAATGGGTCAGCGCTGTTCTTTCCAGCCCTGGGATCCTGTTTCTGTGACTAACACTGAGAGTGATCCCGTGTTAATGTAGACCTCATTCACCTGCTGTTGTGAGCAACCAGCAGTTACTGATTAGCAGGCATAGCCACTTAACATCATATACTTTCTTTTCTAAAAAATGTCATATGTTATCATGTGGTCTTTCTAAAGACATTTAAAGAAAAGAGGCCCTTTGATCTATGAAGATGGCAATCATGTACTTCTCAAGGAAATGCTGAGTGGGCAAACTGTTTCACAATGAGAAGTGGTTGCAATCTTCATATGGTGAATATTAGGACATGTAGCTCAACTTACCTCTAAAATATGTTACATATTACAGTTACTTATTTTTTCCAGAAAACATTGTGGCTTCATGTTCTGAAAGTTGCTTTTAATTACATAGGACATTGAAATTGTCATAGTGGAGGAAATCAGGGTTCTCTCTGGGTAGACTGATTGAATTTCAAGCTTGCCAAACTTTCCCCACACAAGCTTTCGGATTTGCACAACCATTGGTACAGGTTATGGTTTTCAGTTAGTTGGTCATAAGAAATGATGTGTGATTTTTCTGAAATCAACTTTAGTAAAAACATTAATGAAATCCCTTGTTTCTAGGTATGATTTTGTGGAAGTGGAGGATATCTCTGAAACCAGCACTGTAGTTAGAGGAAGGTGGTGTGGCCACAAGGAAACCCCTCCAAGAATAACATCAAGAACAAACCAGATTAAAATTACTTTCAAATCCGATGATTACTTTGTGGCAAAACCTGGATTCAGAATTTATTATTCATTTGTGGTGAGTAGCTAAACTGCTCTGTGATTTAAAAAGACACTGAATTCATAGAGCATAAAGTTCATTTTCTGTGATTAAATACAGTACTATGAGGGGTAATATAGTCAATTCCTTATTTCATGTTTTATTCCTTCCCTATGAACAAAATCTTGAAGCCTTCATTTGTAGGAAAACCATTTTGGATTTAGTATGTTAAACTCAGGGCCATGGTCAATTCAACTAAAACAAGATAAATATATCTTTCTAAATGGGTGGGGAGTGTGTGTGTGTGCCTGTGTGTGTGTGTGTGTGTGTGCGCGCGTGCGTGCGTGTGTGTATGTGTGTGTATTAAACATGTTTTAAGAGTTAAAATAGAAAACAAAATATTTCTCTCTTTGATTTGAAAAAGTTGTTCATAAATTTTATCACAGAATTAAAATTCTGCTGAATTTAGCTTAAATAATACCTCGGTGTTGAGAAGAAACCATGTTGCTGACTAGAGCTTGAGCGTTAGCAAGCATCTTCAAGACCATAAGTCCTACTCTGGGCCGAAGAATCTGAATCCTGTTAGATATACTCACGCTTATGTATAACCTACCTTCTACCTAGGCCTCTTGCAGTCATTTCCAGCATGAAATGGTTATGAGTGTTTGGAAATATTCAACCTCATAGTAAGCTGGAATCCACATTAGAGTTAGTTCTACCTGTTGGGTCACATGTGGTCATGAATCTTCATTCCTCTTCCATTTGTCTAGCATAAAGTATGGGTGCCAAGTAGGACAGAGTACTCTAAACTTGTTTGATCCGTTTTGTCTTTTCTGTTTGAATTGGGCTTAGAATAGAATGATATCTTGCTGTTTTTATCATCCAATGTTTTCTTGCATTGTTCTGAGTTATTAAACACTAAGTGATTTCTATACCAGAACAGAGTCAATGAAAAACTAGCAGGAGTTTACACTGGTTCCAGTTTTAATTTAGAAAAAAACATCCATTGTGGTTTAGATTATTGCAGACTTAAGTGATCCTGCTACCCATGGAAATTAAGTGTGAATGTTTAGTTTCTCCATTTCATCCTCTTTAAGCTATTGTTCCCAGTCAAAGTGGACTTGGCACATTTGGTTGGTGATGGGCCAAATGGCTCAGCAAAAGAGCTTTTCTCCTTGAAAAGTCAAGGACTGCTGCTCAAATGCACGTGCCTTCTGCAATGCCTTGGGCGTGCTGTTCAAATGCAAACGCCTTCTGCAATGCCTTGGGCATGCTGCTCAAATGCATACGCCTTCTGCAATGCCTTGGGTGTGGTTAAGTTACACACTTTACAACCAGAGACAACTTACTTCTCTTTTCATTTTACTTGTTATTCATTGTATGTGTGTAAGTGGACATGTGTGTAGGTGTGTTTTCTCATTTAGTACTTGTGGAGATTTATGTTCATTTCTATACCCTACTTTTTAAACCTTTATTTATTCTTTGATAATTTCATGCATAAATATAGTGTAATTAAATCACTCACCACCCTGGGTGACCTGCTCTGAACTATACCACTGAAAAAAACAATTGTCTCTTTCCCCAGTAACCACCAACTGCTAAGAGCTCCTCATTCAAGGCTGGAGCCTTCTGACCTCCTTTCCTCTCTGATCTAAAATTCTGGCTGGTTTAGCTCTTATACAGTCCTCCCCCCTGCTGTGAGGTCACAGTGAAATGGCTAGCATGTCCAGAAGACGTTAATTTGCAGCAGTCATCCACAAACTCTGACTTTTAAAATCTGTTTACCACTTTTTCCACGGATTAGGGTTGTGATTATCTGTCCCATTTAGGGATGAGAATCCCACAACCTCATATTCTCTGTACAGTAACCAATCTTGAGTCTTTGCTCTAAGTCATCCTGGCCTAAAAGGTAGCTCCTTTGAGACGGAGCAAGCTGCATTATGGATATAAAATAAGTATTTAGAAGACAGTTTGATACTATGTCTCTTTAGCAAAATAATAGCAATAAGTTCTCTCCAAGGTCTATGACCACCCAGCCGCGGTCAGTACTATGCATGAGCTTCCACCTTTGGTGAAAGCCTTAAATACAACTAGAAATCTGCTGATTACCTTCATAGCATCCAGCCACTATTTTGTCAATAGACATCTCTTGCCAGATCAGTCATTGCTGTAGTTTGTACAGTTCACAGCTGGGCCAGACTGCTGTTGGCTTTTCTCCAGTATAGCCTGAAAAATACCTTGTGGCACCGTGAAAGCAGGAGAGACAGCTTCCGCGTGAGTGTCGGTTGGATTTCTCCAAGCCTTATAAGCAAAGTGTGTGGTGTCTTCCACAATAAGATCTTGCTACCTGGTTCTAGTGGATAACCAGGACCAGAGTCTACATTATTTGGGTGGATCTCTGGGAATACACACCACCCATCCAAAACCCTACAGGGTATAATGTAAACGGACTTTCTTTGGACTGTTAGCTCCTAAATAATCACACAGATACTGCTTATTAAGTATGAAAGCATGGTCTTAGCTTAGGCTTGTTTTCAGATAACTCTTAAATTAACCGGTTTATATTAATCATTAATCTACATTCTGCCACATGACTCATTAAGCATCCTCCATGCTGTATGTCCAATATCCTCCAAGTTTCTCTGACAAGTCTTTGCCTCTCAGTTTCTTCCCCCAGGTTTCTGTCTCTCCCTAGAAGTCTAGCCTATCCTTTCCTGCCTAGCTATTGGCCGCTCAGCTCTTTACTAAACTAATCAGAAGGTGCCTTAGGCAGATGAAGTAAAACATAGACAAATCTTCACAGTGTACAAAAAGATTATCCCATATTTCCCCCTTTTAATGTAAAAAAACGGAAACGTCTTAAGCACAGAAAGAATATATACAATGATTATCTAGTAAGACTTATATTCACGATGTCCAGTCCATTTGTGTTCGGCAGACTGAGTGAAAGTACTCTATCCTACCTAAATCTCTTCCTTTCAACACTCTGTGGAGATCACCCCTTATGTTCTTCCCATGTTCCCCCTTGCCCTTAGCCTTATGCCCTCACAGGCTCACCTTTTTAGACCCCTTTACCCTTGTGCCTCATCCCTCATGTCTGATGCTTTGTCCTTCTGTCTTATGCCCTTGAACTTATCGTCCCCTAAGGAATAAAGAAACTTGCATGAAAACGGTGCCTAAATCAGTCAGATCCCATTCCCAAGCTGTGTTCACTTGTTGTAGAAGTGCTGCCCTGAACCCCGAGAGAGTGCTGAGGCTGGTACTTGGCAGCTCCTGACACCTGGTATCAGACTTCAGAAGTTACAACCAGCACTAAGTCAGGCTGTACTGAGTTTTCCTTTCTTCCTCTCTTCGTTTGTTTACTCTGATGCTTGAAGGGACCCCCACAGCTGTCTAGTACACCACTTAACACTGATTAGAGAATGATCACTGTGACACCTAACTAATTGTAGTTGTTATTCTGCAAGATCGTATTTGTGCTGAAATTGTTCTACCTTATCAACACTGATATTAGGAGATTTCTTTTGGTCTGGGGAGATGGCTCTGTGACTAAATTACTTGCTTTGCAATCATGAGGACCTGAATTCAGATCCCCAGCATCTACATGCAAGCCAACTACGCTGATGAATACCTGTAACCATAGTGATAGGGGACAGAGGCAGGAAGATGTTGGGGGCCTGCTTACCAGCCAATATAGTCAAAGCACATAGCTCTAGTATCAGTGAAAGAAACAAAAAACCTAGTGCCAAGTGTGAGATACACAGTTGTGGGATATTTGATCACACTGTGTAAAGACGTGTATCTGTCCTTCCTTGCCTGTCTAAGACACTGTCTGATTGGCTTAATGAAGAGCTGAATGGCCAATGACTCAGCAGAAGAGGATATCTTCTGGGTGGAGATGGGAACTCTGGGGAGGGGTGTGAAGTGAGAGAATCACTGGCAAGAGGAGAGCTATTGATTCACACTGTGGAATGTATATTAATTTTAATTGGTTAATTTAAGTTATAAGAGCAAGTTGGAATAAGCAGAAGCTAAGGTCAAGCTTTCATAATTAATAATAAATCACTGTGTCATTATTTGGGAGCTGGTGGTCCAAAGGAAATCTGACTATATTTGGAGTCTAATCCTGAGAAAACCCAAAAAAATTTTGGACATATTTCCTAGCAACCCCAGTCCCTCAGGTAATCCCAGGGACTGGGTATAAGACACAGCCCCTTTAAGAGATCTTGCTGTTCAGCCTAAGCACTTGAACAGCTGGTGCTCTCAGTGGGATGTAAGTCTGCCTCAGTGCTATGTGGCTGAACACAGATGTTTTGTGTCCCATTATTTAAGTAATAATAGGCATTCAGATATTTGAGGCATAGGAATTATTTTGAAGAAGTCATCATGTCCATGGAAAATGGAAAATAGCTGTTAGGAGAAGCTGTGGTACCTTTCTTAGCATCCTTATATCAAGGGTGTCTACCTTCCTACCTCAGTGACTGTTCAGGTACACGAGTCAATCTTTAGAATCTGTATGCAATAGATTCTCAGGGATATAAAAACTCAATATACTGGAATTAAATCTACATGGCCAATTTTCATATGCTTTTGGAAAGTCCAATTCATATTTTAATAGTGTTTTATTATATGATATTGTGGCTGATTAATGACACTGAAGTATTGTGGTTTGGGTTAGGGTTGAATCTTACATGTAAGCACTGTTTAATGTACTGGGAATTCAGCCTTCTGCCTTTCCTCTCAGCAGCGTCATAGTCCCCTCCAGAGCAGACAGGGGAAAGAGAGTGGAGGCATGTTTCACCAGCTGCTGATAGTGTGATGTTAAACAAGATGTTCACTCTGCCTTTCAGCCGGTAACACTAAGGTATCAGATTTTAGACAGACAAGAATGCTGTTCTCAGTGCCTGCTTAGTGCTCAGTAATGAGTACTATCCTCCCCATTGCTAATTATGTATCAGTCTCGTCCAGATGAATGGCAGTTAGCTTTTTGAGGATAAGAGGAATACAAGCATTTACCCTATATGTATTTTACACAATCC